ATGCCGTTCATCGTTTCGGTACGTGGCGGGGTGTTATTAAGTATTCTAAACAGATGCCGAATTGTTAACTCCAGCCGGCGGCAGCTGCCAACCCCCTGCAGTCTTACTGAACGTGAGACTCATTGGTGCGTCTTTCAGATATTTTGGCTGCTCTACCAACGAATTTCGGCTTGACCCAGACTGTCTTCTTCTTTTGGTGCAGTTTCGGGGTAACCGTTGGCTGCAAAGGGGCGCTGCTCTTAGCGTAGGTTAGACCTTTTGTCGTCCGGCCCACTGAAATGTGTTTCTGCCCTTCTGAATAATGTTCGCACAGAACTGCCCATTGACATAACAGATACTTACTAAGGTAGCTCGGAATTTAGCGTGCAGTAATTTGTAGGCGTCCATTGGCTTTTAGACAGACGAAAACTTTCAGAAACTGCATTGGTCGTTTTGAATTAAATGCCAGGGAAAGTAGAGTTCAGTACATGATTGAATAATCAGACCATATTCCATCTGATAGTAAAGAATATAACACTGACACAGCAAAATCAACATTCTAGCCTGTAGTTTACAAGATTGTGGGTATCTGTCTTTTGCTTACTTCTTCTCTGATGACTTCCGAGAGTGGCGATCGCAGAACGTGTCGGGATTGGAGGCGGACACTGCGAAGCCGATCTGGTAAAGACGGAGCCGTCACTACGGTCCGATTAGAAACAGATAGTCGTTGGAACACAAGAAAATTCCAGCTTATGACAAGAGCTAAGGTGCCCGCGGGATTCGGACAATGGCTGGCAAAGGGAGACGCGCAGATCGAGAGTATAACACCCCTTTTTCCCTCCATTATCAGCGGTTTGGTGCACATGCGGACAATGGCCACCGCAATCAGTACACCGTTCACCTCATTTACTGGCGTGATGATTTTGGACTACCTCATTTCTTCTTCCCTGTCGCTTCGGCAGCACAGTAAACCTCTTTTACCATGACTGCCACCATTAATGGGCTTTTGAAGGTTGTCAAGGAACTGATTTGCCACTTCGATATCAAGTTACGCAAGAAAGTCTTATTAAAATCAACCTTGATGCCACCGTCTAATTCACGCTAAAGATTACTAGGCACTTTACAGTGGCCTATATGCATACCCGTACATGAATCAACCTTCTTTCCAATTACGTTAATGCTGTCAACATATTGCTAGTTCGGGTATTCACACTACAGGTCAAGCAAATCGATGTCTGAAACGAACGCACTTAAGGCATTCCATCCTGCGCACATTTACAAGTTCAGCCACTGAAAGGATTATTTGCCATAAAAGATTCGATTGGAGTAAACTTGTGTTTTTTAAATAACTCTTCGCCGTAATTGTCTTGGACGCGAAATTATATATTAACCCTACATTCGAAACCATCTTTGCTCTTAAGCAAATAAAACCGAAAATTGATGAGCAACTTCCGAGGTAATTTATCCACTAGTAAACGCTTCAGAAAGGCTAATCGCCTGTGCAGTCTCGAAGAAGTGGCGTGAATAAACGCTTTTAGGTCGATGCACAAGGAATACGAAACCCACATTTTTGTACATGTTATTTAGCACGACATCTAATTTAGCAAGCAATGCTTTAAACACCCTATTTAATCTTTTCTGTAGTTGGATTCAAATGGTAATGTGGAACTGATGCCGCGAAGGGACTGACAATTATCAGGCAGCCAAAATGATTATCAGCAAACACATTATTCTCATCCATCTACGGGAGAATTGCATTGATCTTAGCACAGTGTGTGGGCTAAACTGCATACAAAATATTGAACACAACTCAGCAGGCAATGAACAGACATCGACAGCTTACGAAGGAAGCGAAAACTCCGCGGTAGTTCGAAGGCTTTTCCATCCAAAGTGTTCTGGCAGGAAAGCTTTGACGTAAACTGTTCGCTGTAAAACATCCGAGTTCCAATTTGACCGCGCTTTAAAGATTTGCTAATAATTTCAGGGAAGTAGCACCGATGGATCGGAAAGTCCTGTCGCTTGACGCCGCCAATTTTCACTTTCACATTCGGCGTAAATTTAGGAATAATTAGATCGTGAGACGGTCTCACGAACAATTGGGAGGTGTTACTGTCTGCAAGAAAATCAGGCAGACACTGAGGTAGTTGGAGAATTTTTGATTTATGCGTTGATTAAGTACAGGGACGATGATATTGGTGGTGGTGGTGGCGGCGGCATCGGCGGCTGTGGCGGCGGTAGCGATGGCAAAAATGATTGCGGCCGTATCATATCGCAAGAGACGTAGTGATAATGACGGTGACGGTGAGAAACCGGAAAAGCTGATTATTTTGAAAACTGTCCAACAATCGCGAACATTATGGATGCCAAAATACTTGTAGCAAAAGTCTAACTATTTTAGACCGTGTGTTATTAATAGCCAGCAGGCTTATAAACCGAGAATCTGTGTACAGGCACATAAAATCAGCATTTTGAATTGCCTAAGCCATGGCCCGGATTATGAATATGCTTTAAGGAGAGCCAACGACCCCAGTTAGTATTCAACTTGTATAGCAAATAAATAGCTAACTCATTTACGAGGGCATACCTTCCTTTGAAATTATAACTACTAAGAACGTGGTAATCCTTAAGTGGATGCTCCCCAACTGTATTAATTTGATTCAACCTTTGAAAAGAAGCTCCCAAGAATTTTCTTATACTGATTTTTCAGGGTACCAAGTCTATCTTAATATTTTAAAGGTCTCGTAAAACCCTGTCTCAAAATGCCTCACGGTTTTCTCTGTATAACGCATGTGGCACTTCAAAATTCTATGAAAAATCCACAGATGTACCAATAAACCGGCACACGGTAGACAAAATTATATAATTCTTCTAATGAGCAGAACATTTTAAAACTAAAAAACCCGTCTATAAGATGAAGGGATAAAATGTACCATATACTCCAACACTACGAGAGACTACGAGCTAATGTTAAGAATTTAATGCATGTAGTGATGTTAAAACACTCATACAAGGGACATATGAGGGCGATATGGACACTGTTTAAGGGGTCGAACTTCCTAGCTTAGAACGTTTATAACATTTCTTGCCGTCATCAAGCAGATCGCAGAAGACGTAGACTCGATGGAAAGAATAGGAATTAGTGTGACCTCTGTTTGGACCCACAACATGTCTTATGGAAAATGTGCGTGCACTTATTTTGGTGCTCCTACATAAAGCGCCAAAGGTCTGGTCTCCAGAAACCCAAAAATCGCTAACCGCGGTATTGTCAACGACGATGATGGTAGGCATGCTTATAACTCGAAAATGGGGTTCCTTTTTTCTGCTCCAGAAGACCTGATGAACCACAAATTACGTTTCGTGATAGTGTTGTGACATTTATGTCCGTTTTGTTTCAATCAGTTACAATACGCTTTGACACAACTTTGAATAAGACAAAGAACACGCACGTGCACTTTTACCTGCTGACGACTTTGTTCTTATTTAGTAGTTTGTAACTGTTGTGATAATGCTATTTTCGTTTGCCGGATAGCCTACTTACCGTGCCCAACTAATGGCTTTATAACTTACACTGGTGACCCTTTATCGTTCATAGCTCCTTCTGTTTAATTTCTGTGCATAATTATTTTCATTCAGATTAATCCTCACTCTAATTTTTATCGATCAGATTATTTATCTAGCCCTTATTTGCTTTTCACACTGGCTCACCCTTTCATCCAGTACGAGCGCTACCCTTCAATCTCACTGTCAACGCGCCAGTCATCTACCCCATTTATCTGACCTCTGACCGACCTCGGCTAATTATGTCCAACGATACTAACAGCCAGCCGATAGCCGGCATTCACATCTTTGACCTGCCATCCGCGTGGTTCGGTGACATCGCGTTGTGGCTTCGCACTGTAGAGTCCCGCTTCGACCTCCGTCAGATCACACGAGAGGATACGACATTTCACTATGTTGTGGCAGCACTCCCAATGGACATCGCCACCGACCTCCGCGACATCATAGATTGCCCGCCCACAGAAGCCCCTTATACTGCCCTAAAGGAGGCTCTCATTTCCCGCATTTCCCTCCCAACGCAAAAACGTCTCTAACGTTTAATTTCTGAGGAGGACCTTGCTGACAGGAAGGCTACGCAGCTTCTTAGGCGTTCGGAGCAGTTGGCAGACGGACAAAAGCTGGATGCCACCATGTTCAAGCAACTTTTCCTCCAACGGTTGCCTCCTTCTGTGCAAGCCATCCTTACGCCTAACATTCTTTCATCGACTGTTCAGATGATCGCGGAGACTGCTGACCGTATAGTCGAGTACTACCAGCCTCCTGTTGCGGTTAACGTCGCTAGTCGGAGCACAACTGCCCCCACAATCGAGGATGTCATCAAACGCCTGGATGCCCTCACTCTCGAAGTTTCCCAGCTCCGGGCCACTCGTGTCTATAACCAACGTAGTCCTGCAATTTCTCGCCGCCCGAGATCTCCCACTTCAAACCAACCTACAGTTGATGATTTATGTTGGTATCATCACAATTACGGTTCTAACGTCCATCGCTGCCACTCTCCGTGCAAGTATAAAACATCCGCGTCGGAAAACTCCCCTGCCGACCAGTAAGTGCGACGAACGTGGTCGGCACATCCTCTCCCAGTCGCTTACTCCACATCTATGACAGGACTTCCTGTCGTAATTTTCTCGTGGATACTGGTGCGGAGATCAGTCTTATCCCACCCAACTTGACTGACCGTAAGTCACCAAACTCTTCATTTTTCCTCCAAGCAGCTAAAAATACTTCTATTTAAACTTTTGATCAACGATCCCTAACACTTGATCTGGGTCTAAGACGTTCATTTCTTTGGCTATTTACTATCGCTGATGTCCATACTGCCATTCTCGGCGCTGATTTTATATCCTTTTTTCGGTCTCCTCGTTGGCATTAAGTCTTATAAATTATTTGATCCTAAGACTTCTTTACATTGTAATTGTTCCACTCGTACCCTTTCATCACCTAATCCACGCATTTAAGCAATCCCTTCATCTATTCCCTATCATCGTTTTCTTTCGGAATTTCCATCTATCACACGACCTTCACAATTTAACCAACCTATCAAGCATTCTGTTGTACATTATATTTCAACTACTGGACCACCCGTGTTTAGCCGTCCCCGTTTTTTAGCCGCCGATAAGTTAGCCATAGCCGAGACTGAATTCAGTCACATGATGGAGCTAGGCATAGTTAGGCCTTCCACTAGTCCATGGGCTGCACCTCTACATATGGCGTGCAAAAAGTCTCTCGTTGGCTGGCGCCCATGCGGGGATTACCGACGGTTAAACACCTCCACTGTGCCTGACAGGTATCCACTTCCCCATCTCCACGACTTTTCATCTAGCCTAGCCGAAGCAACAATATTTTCCAACATTGACTTAGTCAAAGCTTTCCATCAGATACCCGTTGCTCCAGAAGACGTTCCCAAAACGGCGATTACAACACAGTTTGGTCTGTTCGAGTTTGTCAGGATGCCTTTTGGGCTACGCAACTCCGCCCAAACTTTTCAACGTTTCATCAACGAAGCCCTCCGCGATCTACCTTTCGTTTTTGTCTACGTCGACGATGTTCTGGTAGCAAGTTCCAGTGAACACGAGCACCTACAACATTTGCGTCTCATTTTTGAACGATTGAGCCAATTTGGCGTTTTTATTAATGTTTCTAAATGCGTTTTTGGCGCACAGTCGCTGTTTTTCCTAGGACATCGCGTAGATGCTTCTGGTTGTCATCCCATAGATGCCAAAGTTCCAGCTATTCGCGATTTCCCTACTCCCACTTCTTTTCAACAACTGCGCTGTTTTATAGGCCTTGTATATTTCTATCGACGTTTCATCCCTCATTGTGCTAAATTAATGCTACCACTTACTAATCTTTTACGCGGGAACAACCGTGAGTTTTCTTTTCCTGACACAGCTGTAGAGGCTTTCAATCGTGCGAGGAAGGCTCTTGCGGATACAACTGTCCTTGGTCACCCTATACCTGATGCCCCACTTTCCATTGTGGTCGACGCCTCTAATTTCGCTATAGGTGCTGCCCTTCGGCAACAGACGCCCACTGGCACCCAGCCCTTGGCTTTCTACTCTGCCAAATTGACACCCTCACAAACTCGCTATAGCACTTTCGGTAGAGAACTTTTTGCAATTTATTTAGCCATTAAGCATTTTCGTTATTATATTGAGGGCCGAGATTTTTGTATTTATACTGAGCACAAGCCTCTTACTTATGCCCTCTCTACTTCATCTGACAAGTATTCACCCCGCGAGGCCCGCCATCTCGACTTTATTTCTCAGTATACCACCGATATTCGATTTTTTAAAGACCTTTATAATGAAGTTGCTGAATGTCTTTCTCGGCCTGGCATTAATGCCATCACCCGCCCTTCCATCGATTTGGAGAGCATGGCAGAACTGTAAAATCAGCCGACTTTCAGTGAGAGCCTTCAACACACTAGTCTTCAACTCGAAGCCATTCCTCTTTCCACCACCCTCGGTACAATCTTGTGTGAAGTATCGCGCGGTGCCTCCCGACCCGTAGTGCCAAGCGAGATGAGACGAGATGTTTTTGCCGCGTTGCACAATCTAGCTCACCCTGGCATCCGCACTACCCAGCGCCTCGTCAGCGAACGGTTTGTTTCGCCAAGCATGAACACTGATATCCGCCAGTGGACCCGTTCATGTTTGGCCTGTCAGAAGGCCAAAGTCGGACGGCACAACAAAGCCCCCATTGGCACTTTTCTCGCACCTGCCGCACGTTTGCACATGTCCATATCGATCTGGTAGGTCCCTTCCCAACATCTCGTGGTTGCAGCTACTTACTTACTGCGATTGACCGATTTACTCGTTGGCTCATTGCAACTCCCATACCTAACATAACTGCAGATTCCGTTGCTCATGCTTTTTTGGAACACTGGATCTCTCATGATGGCGGCCCCTCAACTATTACCCCCGATCGAGGTCAACAATTCGAGTCTAGACATTTAATAGCCTAACCAACCTCCTCGGATGTTCTCGCATACGGACGACAGCACACCACCCCTCATCCAACGGCTTAGTCGAGCGTTTCCGCCGGCAAATCAAAGTCTCGCACCGAGCTCACAACAATCCTTCCCCTTGGAGCGAGCATCTGCCTTTGGCATGCTCAGTATCCGTGCCGCACTCAAGCCCGACTTGGAGTGTTCCGCTGCCGAACTTGTCTACGGTACCACCCTATGGATTCCCGGGGATTTTTTCGGGCACTCTCAAAGCTCAGGCGACTTGGATCCCAGTAATAATGTGCAAAGATTGTGCCAAGCCATGACTCATCTTCGAGCCACTCCTCCACGTACTTCAACAAGTAAGTCGTACGTCGACCCGAACTTGCTAACATTTTCTTTTGTATTTGTCCGCGTAGATAGCGTTCACCGGCCACTACAACAGCCCTATTACGGCCCATTTCGAGTACTATCGCGCAATTGACCGTGGAGGCCGCACCGACGTGGTCTCAATCGATCGCTTGAAGGCGGCTTACACCGAGCCTCTTCCAACTTCTCCAAACAAACAACCCCCACTTGGCACATTGTCACTTGTTATTTCCCAGACTCCATTTACGCCAAATAACCCCGCGTCTTTCCTTATCCCACAGACTCCTCCCCTTACGCGCAGCGGTCGTCATGTCCGTTTTCCCGACCGTTACCAACTTGTACAATATGCATAACACTCCCATATTTTCCTTCTATTAACAGTACTTTTTTGAACCCCGTTCTCCTAGGAGGGGAAGTATTGTAGTGAAATTTACAGCAGATGTGCTAACTCATGAAATGCCAACCAAAATTTCGAAATGCGTTCTCGTTTCGAAAAGATAAATTAAGTAGTGTTGTAAAACTAATCATGATGCAGCATAAATCTATAATGATCCAGTTAAATCTTGGTGTCGACTTTCGGAAGAACTTATTTTCGGCTGCATGCAAGATCTATACTCTGCAAAAAAGGACTACTTAAGTAGCCTGTAATTTTCTCATTGCTTTTCGATGCCCTTGAAAATCCAATTATATTTCATGGAAAACATGCATGATAATATTCATTCTTTTATTTATTCGGTAGAAAATCACGCCTTCTCTCAATTTCATACTCGAAAGAAGAGTATAATTCGGTTTTAAAAAAGTTTTTCTAATTCCCGAATAATTTTGAACCCGACCTGATGTTACACTTGCATTCAGGGTTTCAAAACTACAAGCTGTATATTTTCCGTGTACGGAAAACCATGCCTTTCTCTGCGGTGTTAAGAGGACACCATATGAGGTTCATAAAATAAAGCAATGGATTTGAGCAATATTGTTAATATTACAAGCCACATTCGTAAATGCAGATACATGACGTTACATGAGCGGCCATTTAACGGTATTAAAAAATCTCACAATTACAAACTTTTTTAAAACCGAAATATACTCTTCGTTGGAGTATGATGTTGGAAGAAGACGTGATTTTCTACCGAATAAGTAAAAGAATGAATATTTTTATGCATGTTTTCCATGAAATATAATTGAATTTTCAAGGGCATCGAAAATCAATGAGAAAATTGCATACTAATTATGTAGTCATTTTTTGCACAGTATAGATTTTGCATGCAGACGAAAATAAGTTCTTTCGAAAGCAGACCCCCTGTGGTAACTGGGTTATGATAGATTTATGCTGCATCATGATTACATACTTACACTACTTAATTTATCTTTTCGAAACGAGAACGCATTTCGAAATTTTGGTTGGCATTTCATGAGTTAGCATATCTACTGTAAGTCCGTTTTTTTAATCAGTTAAAATACGCTTTAACACAACTTTGAATAAGACAAGGAACACGCACGTGCACTTTTACCTGCTGACGACTTTGTTCTTATTCACTAGTTTGCAAGTGTTGGGATACGGCTATTTTCGTTTCCCGGATAGCCTACTTACCGTGCCCAACTAATGGCTTTATCACTTACAATGGAATGAGGGTCGAAAACGTCTTAATCGAAAAGCCCGCACCCCTTATGACTACTTAAGTGGTCCCCTCACCTCACACCGAATTTCTCCTACTCATAGACTGGGGAAGGACATTCTTACGCGTTCTCAAATCTTCCGGAATGACTTAAATATCTATAAGTGCATTTAAACGAAGTCGGAAAGCAAAGCAATTACCGATATTTCCTTTTTTACCTACGGCTCCGGTGAGTGCGTTATTTCTGGATTATTGACAAAGACAACTGTAAGAATTTACATGAAATTTTAGGAAGATTTCGGCTTATGATAAGGTTTCCAGTATTTTAGCAATAACACTAATGACCATACTTAATTATCAGATAAACAAGCGATAGATAAATTCCTTCCAAGAAGAAAAGAACCAACCTCCACTTACGCCAGCAAATATAGCTCCAGTCCGAAGATTTGACTGTTTGAGGTAAAAGACGTGTTTCACTAACCTCACTACCTCATAGATAGAAAGATGAATGCCTGATATCCGCAGATTAAACAGTCCATAAAATGGCGTCGGTGGAAACTGTTTAAGATTTAAATATCTGACAGTTCGTCTGTTCCAAGCGATAAAGTCTACCGTTGTTAAAGCTACGCACATGAGGCAGAATTGTGCGCCTTCCGCCTCACTCGTGTTGCATGCTGCGGCAAACCATTGTGATGCTCGTCAACAATGGGTTTGTACGACCAATTACGAGGCCAATTACGCGAAACACGTATGTACGAACTGCTAGAGCACCAGAATCAATTTTCTACAGGGTCGCGTTAAAAGATCATCGCTCACTGCCCCGCATCCAGAAAGTGGACCGAAGTAACCCGGAGTTTTCGGAAACTCCCAACAACAAACGTTGGTGGGCGAGTTAATGTCCTCAGATGAGAAACTAAAGCTGCCACGTCAGCGTCAAACGAACTTAAAGTTGGGCGTAAGGACTGATATAACGGAAGGCCACCATCTACGCAGAAGTCGCACGTGTTGCCTTCTGCAGTCAGGAACTATGGCAACAATAATCGCCACTTATTACCGTGTTTTGATGCATTTAGTTGACCAGGGTACTAAGTTGTGTAAACTAGCGCCCTATAAATGTTTTCATGAAATCGCCTTGACAAAAGACTTTTGCGTTCTGTAATATCGACCAAAACCTGCGTCCGAGCAGTAAATGGCGTGAGATAAAAACGATAATGTGGTCGTGTTTGCTACGTGTGCTTTCAAACAGCAAAAACAAGTTGACACCGTGTAACTGTCGCCTTCAATATAAACTTATCCCAGCTGCACCAGCTGAAGAACCCCTTGAGAAAATTACCATTAATTATAACGCCTTCAATACTATGCTAGTATTATTCTGATCATGGTAAAACATACGCGCTGTAGAGGCATTGCGTATCACTTTGCAATGCAGACTAATTCTACACATTATGAGGCATTGCCGAAGACGTCGTCAAATTACTAAAGTTACATACATTGTCGACCACACAACATTCGCCAGCATAATATAATTGAAATAAATAAATTTTCGTGCATTTTCTTCTTCATAACGGGGTCATCGTGAAATCTCAGCACAACAGCACGAAGCGATCTGGGATGGGCTTTAGAGAAGAACAACAAGACGTATGGGAACCATACTGGGCCTACATCAGGAAACAATTTTTTCGGTATATAGTAATTTTTATTTCGACAAAAACCGGTTCAGTTCTTTAAGACACTCTAATTAAAAAAGGCTTTTTCCGACTTTTCCGGAAATAGCAACTAGCATTACGTCATCAGTGCAATCTAAGTACGATATCCGTGTCATTTAGGTGGCACTTGATTTTGATAACTAAAAGCAACGGAAACCGCAAATGTTCTTATTTTTAAGCCTAATTTTCCTGTTGTGTCAAAGGGTAAATTCTTCCTTCAGCACATTTCCTGCTTAAGGAATTTGATGACTGCAATCGTAACATAACAATTCAACACTAACATCGGTTACTTACCATACTGGTAAACGGCCACCGGAATGCCAAAGCAGTGCCAAATAGTCATGAACTCGGGCATGTCATAGCTCCCATTTATATAGCCTGCTGAGTCCTCTTTGCTCCAATTGTAAGCCAAAATCATATCTTCTTCTGTAGAATCGGGTTGACAGATCACGGATTGACAGTCGCTATTGTTGCTTCCACTGTATTTAACCATTCGCTTCTTCTCATCTCCCTTACCAAGACCAAGAACTACTTCTTTAGGCACGTCTAGCGTGCACTTGTTCGTGCTATCTTGATTTATGATCAAGTGCTCTTTGATTAGGAACTGGTAGTCCTCAACATTCTCACTCATCTCTCGAGCAGCACTGTGCTTGCGCACACAATAACAGTCGTACGCTTCGTATTTCGAAGTGATCTTTGCCAATTTTAAGGAATTGGTGAATTGCTTGACACCACCATCTTGAATGCAACGTACG